AGTAAACCAAAACCATACCCGAGATGTACTGTAAACATATGGTAATACCATTCTAAGCATCTTATCTTAATGTTAACTTAATGTTAATATCAAAATATCATAATAACAGCTATTGTACATTAAGAATATGGTAATTGTATTAAATATGCCAATTTCTAATATTCTCATTCCAGTTTACCACTGTTTATACGGTTTGATTCAAATTTTTCCGTTCCATAATCCCACTGGCCTGTGATTATCCCAATCCCAGACTGATGATTGAAATGGGATTTTTCCTGGTCTCTGGCGACTCTGTGACGGTGGGTTGATATTAAGAGGGTTCAGAGATACAGACATTCAAGGCCAGGCCAAGTAAACAGTCCTGACTGTCAAAACTGCAGACTGTGAGCATAAAACACTCTCACCACAATCACATTGGGATTATTACTTCATATCCATCTTAATCTGGGAGACAACAAAGGGGAATTCTGATGTCGACAATATTGTTTGATGCACTCTCGTGATCCCAGAGCTAATTTAAACACAATGAAATATGACCATACTTCTCTCACCTCTTCATTTAGCAAATTATAAATGGAGAATATCTGACATATTTGTACCCCTTTAGAGACCTCTCCTTTAACACAATAGTTTGATACCAGAGGCATTGCTCACCACAATAACATGAATCTTCCTCAGGACCTTTCTTCTCTTATTGCTACCCAAATACTATATAATCTATCTATAGTGTAGGTAAAAGCTGTTTGAATTTCTAGAATACTATTCCGTTATTATCCTTCTTTAGATTTAGTTAGGTGTGCTGTGCTGTGGATGTGTGGGTTGACAGTCAGTTGGGGGTAGGGCTTCCTGGGCTCTCCCTCCCTTCTCTTTCTGCTGCATTTAAAGGGAATCTGCGGTGAACTCTGAGAAATTACTCCACTCACTAGCAGATAGTTCAGTGCATTCAAAGGACCTTGTCACTTCCAATATGCTCACAATGAACCTCGGCCCTTGGTGCAGCAGTCCATCGTCTGACTAACCCACTCCTCTGGCAAAACCAGCACCTTCACCTCTATTGTGTAGGTGTATGCTGGGAGATTGTTCCTTCAGATGCCATTACTGCTCCTGTTGCCAAGACTGAACAGTGTCAGGAACATACAGGACAGCAACCATTTGCGAGAGAAATGGTAAAGAAGTAAGTAAGTAGCCTTGAATAAGGCTTCAAGCACACCCCCTGGACAGGACACAAGTCTATCGCAGAGCCTTACCCCCAATCTATCTCCTTAGTGCTAAGCAGAGACGCATCGTGTCACAATGACTCAGCCAGGGATCAAACTCCCAACCTTCCAAACTCAAGGCAGACACTCTAACCACAAGATCACTGAGTTGGTAGAGAAAGCATAGGTTAAAAGTGGGTGAAATATAAAAAGGCTAATCCTGTCAAACCTGATGTCAATTTGCAGATGTGTTTTATCATTTCGTTTTTCTCTCTCGATACAAGAACTATCCATTTGAAACAGGAGAGCGTACAGTAGTGGTAATTATCTACAGTGCCTTAGGAAAGTATTCAGACCCCTTGACTTTTTCCACATTTTGTTACGTTACAGCCTTAATCTAAAATGGATTAAATAACAAATGTTCCTCAGCAATCTACACACAATACCCCATAATGACAAAGCGAAAAATAAATGGATTTTTTTTTTACAGAAATACCTTATTTACATTAGTATTCATATCCTTTGCTATGAGACTCTAAATTGAGCTCAGGTGCATCCTGTTTCCATTGATTATCCTTGAGATGTTTCTACACTTGATTGGAGTCCACCTCTGGTAAATTCAATTGACTGGACATGATTTAGAAATGCACACACTGTCTATATAAGGTCCCACAGTTGACAGTGCATGTCAGAGCAAAAACCAAGCCATGAGATCGAAGGAATTGTCCGTAGAGCTCCGAGACAGGATTGTGTCGAGGCACAGATCTGGGGAAGGGTACCAGAAATGTTTTCCTAATGCATTATATACATCTGTTGGTCACAGATACCTTATAAAAAAGGTAGAGGCGTGGATCAGAAAACCAGTCAGTGTCTGGTGTGACCATAATTTACCTCATGCAGTGCGACACATTTCCTTTGAATAGAGTTGATCAGGCTGTTGATTGTGGCCTGTGGAATGTACAGATCCTTGCGACATGGGGCCCTGCATTATGATGCTGAAACATGAGGTGATGGCGGCAGATGAATGGCACGACAATTGGCCTCAGGGTCTCGTCACAGTATCTCAATAACGCACAAGGTGCACCTGTGTAATGATCATGCTGTTTAATCAGCTTCTTGATATGCCACACCTGTCAGATGGATGGATTATCTTGGCAAAGGAGAAATGCTCACTAACAGGGATATAACACATTTGTACACACAATTTGAGAGAAATAAGCTTTTTGTGCGTATGGAACATTTTCAATTTTTCAATTTTACCTTGTGTATTCTACTATTTTAACTCGCAACAGTAAGTTGAGACCACGTAAGTTGAGACCCTGACTGAGTTACATTTTGGGATATTGATCCGCCGGCCTACAGGGCCGCCAGTTGCACATCCCTGTTCTATATGGACACCAGAAGCTGCTATTTATTACTGACCAGATGCCCTTAATATGCATTTTGTGAAAAGCTCTAAGTAATGAACCGTTTTTTTCGACACAATTTGGTGAAAGCACCAAATTCTTCAGAAAGCCTTGTTTTCCCATCACAAGTTGTTTCACAAGCAGTTCTCCAGAACAGAATAATGAACTCATCATCAAGCTTTGATGATTTTAATCAGCTGTCTAGGACTAGGCCAAAAAATACATCTACACCCCTTGGGGCCCCCAGGACTGTGTTTGGGAAACGCTGCTCCAGATCAATGAATAGAGGTTATTCTACTTGTCCAATGACACACTTATTCTACACTGTCCTTCAGTAGGATTTGTGTGACAGTACTAAAGTCACGTTAAACCAACTCATTAGCTGAAAATGATAAGGAGCATAAAGATGGAATTGAATCCAATCTGGGCTAGCTTGGAACTCTTTCTTCACACAAGTGACTGTGGGCATGTAGAGTTAAAGAACCATGTCACACTATGGGTTTAACTAGGATGCGGTAGTTTTCTGGGGACATTTCCCCTCTTACCTACTCCTGTATCAAAGCAGCTCTCCTTCTGTAGTAATGTCATCATTACAATTTCAGTCTCTTCTGAGAAACCATCCCTACGGTTTTATGCCATCCAAGGTACAGTCTCAGATATGCCAGCGTTGTGGGTGTAGGGAAGAAAGGAGTGGGAAACAGGCTGATGGAAGAATAGAAAAGGAGGAGAAAGTGTGATGATTCATCCAATATCTGCCTCCTCTCTGATATGTCATACAACAGAATGGATAAGGTGTCAATAGCATGGTGAATTTGTAGAAAAGACACTCTTAACATGTTGGTCTGATTTTGCCTTTTAGTGTCATCTTTGAATATCGGGAAAGGTCAGGGAAAGGTTATCATCAACAGAAACAATAGAATTGTATGGATGAGAGAGTCACCAACAAAATATCTGATTCAAAGAAGCACTCAAGCTATTTTTCCTGTTGAAAAACAATATCCCAGGTATAAATACAGTAATGTACACTTAAGGGTAAATAACTAAAACACGTCTTGAGCAAAATAGTGTTTTTTAGACACAACTGCAAACTTCAAGGAGTAGGTCATTCAAGGAGTTGGTCTGGTGTGATGTAATCGGCCCCCCTCTTGCTTGCGGGAACAATAGAGGAGCAAAAGAGGTAAAAATAGGTAATCATTGAGGTGAAAAGGAGACTGGAGTGCCACTTTAAGGACTTACTGTAAGGGCCTAAAGAGATCTTGGACATGTAATCAAGACATTATTACACATTTTACATTTACATTTTAGTCATTTAGCAGACACTCTTATCCAGAGCGACTTACAGTTAGTGAGTGAATACATTTTCATACACATCATACACAAAATGTTGCAAGCTAACAACGGTAGACACATTAGTCCCGTGTAGCTCAGTTGGTAGAGCATGGAGCTTGCAACGCCAGGGTTGTGGGTTTGATTCCCACGGGGGACCAGTATGAAAAAATAATACAATTTATGCACTCACTAACTGTATGTCACTCTTGGTAAGAGCGTCTGCTAAATGACTAACATGTAGTATAGTAGGCAACATTTCCTATTGAGTATGTTGAAAAGAGGCGTGTGGGAGCTGCCTTTCGACCTTGGGAGTCCATGGCAACCCTTTTAAATTCAATACGGAGAGGTGAGAAGGGAGGGAGAAGAGAGAGAGAGGGGGAGGAGGGAGAGAGAGCGTGTGAGATTGAAAGACAGCGTTTGAGAGAAACAATAATCTCATCATTCCACACATGATCGCAGCGAAAGGAGTTTAGACAGACAAAGAAAGCAGTGACAAGCTCAAAGCAACACAAATTCCTTCTTTCATCTTTTGCCCCTCTGTCACTCTGGGTGGTAGGTCTCATTGCTTCTACTCTGCTTTATCTTGCAGGAATTCACTCAGCAGCCCGGAGACCTGAGCCGAGCGGCCTGAAACCACCAAGGGAAGGAGAGAGATTAAAAACTGATTGAGGTTGGAGGGAGAAAGCGAGAAAATAGTTTATAATTCACCTTTGTTCTTCTTAGTGCCCCCTGTGAGGTATCATCCATAGGCAGGGTGGTGAGTAACAGTGGGCAGAGGAGTACAGTGGGCAGAGGAGTGCCCACCACGTTGGTCAGACCATGGAGTGAGGAGGAAAGAAGGAGATGCATATATAAGAAAGGAAGAGGATATATCCTTTGAAGAGCCATCTAAATTCATGCTCCTATTATAATTGAGTGCTTCTAAGAGCAAAGCAACATGAGAGGACGCCTGTTCTGTGCCCACTGCTTCAAGAGGTATTATTAAGATTAACCCTCTGGATATAGAGTAGACTAGTGTTCTTTGTGTTCCTGATTCCGCTGGGTTCTAGAGTGTGTCTGGGCTGTGGTCATGGTGTCTCAGCCCCAGGGATGTGCTCTGCATCGGACTGGCAGGATCTGTCACAGAGGCAGCCTGATCAGGCTCTTACTCCTCCTCTGCTGCTCTCTCACGGCCGCCCAAGCTGCTAAACCCAAAGTCTCGAGCGGCGCACACCTCAACTCCATCCGCATAGACGGGGATATCTCCCTGGGAGGCCTGTTCCCCGTGCACTCCAGGGGCAACGAAGGCAAGGCCTGCGGGGAGCTGAAGAAGGAGAAGGGGATCCATCGTCTGGAGGCCATGCTGTTCGCCCTGGACCGTATCAACAACGACCATTCCCTGCTTCCCAACATCACGCTGGGGGCGCGCATCCTGGACACGTGTTCCCGGGATACCCACGCCCTGGAGCAGTCGCTCACCTTCGTCCAGGCCCTCATCGAGAAGGATGGGACAGACGTCAAGTGTCTGGGCGGGGGGGCACCCATCATCACCAAGCCTGAGAGGGTGGTGGGAGTCATCGGAGCCTCGTCCAGCTCTGTGTCCATCATGGTGGCCAATATACTGCGGCTCTTCAAGGTAAGGACCACACCTTGGTGGTGATTTACTACTTGTGTGTGTGGTTGTGGTTTGTTTGCAGTGTTGGAGTGAGTATCTGATGTATGCACGTTGTAGTGTTTACAGTGGGTGTCGGATGGATGTACACTGTGGCATTTGTTCCATGTTAGCTCTAGTTGGGAATGTTATCCTCATTCTCTGTTCTAACACAATTTGGTTCCCTGATATTTGGAAAGAAGAGCTTGAATAATGACAGAGACATGTGTGGCTCAGTTGGTAGAGTATGGTGTTTGTAACGCCAGGGTTGTGGGTTCGATTCCCAAGGGGACCAGTATGAAAAAAAAGTATGAAAATGTATGCACTCTACTGTAATTCACTCTGGATAAGAGCATCTGCTAAATGACTAATATGACTAATACTGGTTAAATCTCTGCCTCTACACCATAGTTCCAATAATCCTAAAGTAATGCCATCTCAATCTACCCTGAGGACTGCTAAATTGTCACAACTATTACCTCTAACCCATAGAGTTGGATAGATGGCCCACATGCAAAGATAGGAGATGAGATCTCTATGCTCTCAACTAAATAATAGGATGCAACATTAGTTGATTTCATTGTCTCCTCATAGAACAATAACAGTTTCTCTTTCGACCTGGATTCATTACTTTGATCGCCCCCCATGATAGGGAAAGTCATTTTCATCCACATGCTGTCCTTGTTCATAGCACATACCAAGTCCCATGGTTTCACTGATTTATAAGCCCAGACCACCCAGCCCTGGAAATAACTTCACTGCATTCATGTAGCTTCTTAATTGCTTTCTCTGATCTGTTTATGCTGCGTCTTCTGTTGCCCAGGTTTGATTGGTGGTGTTGGCTCATTGAGTCATTTCTTCCTTTTGATAAGAAATGCTTTGCCTTTACTCTCTTGGAAGTCATGCATTCAGGCTGTGTTTTAAGACTAATTGGATATTTTGCATATCTATTACTAAACATCTCGCTAATTGTGACCATTGTATTACATATTACATAAGCTCTCCCTTGCCCTCCATTTGGCAAATCTGACCAGAACTCTGTCCTCCTGATTCCTGCTTACCAACAAAAACACAATCAGGAAGTACCAATGCTCAATTCGGAAGTGGCCTGATGAAGCGGATGTACGGACATATCCTAACCAGAAGCCATGGTTTACAGGCAACATCCGCACTGAGCTAAAGGCTAGAGCTACCGCTTTCAAGGAGCGGGACACTAATTCGGACGCTTATAAGAAATCCCGCTACGCACTCTGAAGAACCATCAAACAGGCAAAGCGTCAATACAGGACTAAGAAAAGAAAATATTTGGCATGGGACCGCAGATCCTCAAAACATTGTACAGCTGCACCATTGAGAGCATGCTGACTGGCTGCATCACCGCTTGGTATGGCAACTGCTCAGCATCCGACTGCAAGGCACTACAGAGGGTAGTGCTTAATGCCCAGTACGTCACTGGGGTCGAGCTCCCTGCCATCCAGGACCTCTATACCAGGCGGTGTTAGGAAGGCCCTAAAAATTGTTAGACTCCAGCCACCCAAGTCATAGATTGTTCTCTCTGCTACCGCACGGCAAGCGGTACTGGAGCGCCAAGTCTGGGACCAAAGGGCTCCTTAATAGCTTCAACCCCCAAGCCATAAGACTGCTGAACAGTTAATCAAATGGCTACCCAGACTATTTGCATTGACCCCCTTATGTTATTTGTATATTGTAAAAGAAATTGCACCAACTCTCTTATACGGGCTCTAACCACACTCTTACTCACTGGACTCTAACCACACAGTCACACATACTACATTGACACTCCAACACGCACACACACACACACACACACATGCATATTGACATACAATTCAGTCCCATTAAAAATCCTATTTTCCCTAACCCCAAACCTAACCCTAACCCGTACCCTTACCCTAACCCTAACCTTAACCCAAAAACCTAACCTTAACCCTAACCCTAAAACTAACCCTATCTCCTAACCCTAAACCTAATTCTAACCCTAACACTAATTCTAACCTTAACCCTAAACCCCCTAAAAACAGCATTTGACCTTGTGGGGACCAACAAAATGTCCCCAGTTAGTTACATTTTTGTTTGTTTACTATTCTTTTGGGGACTTCTGGTCCCCACAAGAATAGTTAAACACACACACACACACACACACACACACACACACACACACACACACACACACACACACACACACACACACATTCACATTCCTTCACACTCTTCATATATGTTGCTGCTACTCTCTGTTATTATCTATGCCTAGTCAGTTTACCCCTACCTACATGTTACCTCAATTACCTAATCTACCCTGTAGCCCTGCACCTTGACTCAGTACCGGTACCCCTTGTATATAGCCTCGTTATTGCTATTTTATTGTGTTAATATTTTTCCTTTTCCTTTGGTTTAACAATTATTTTTTATATATATTTCATTGTTGGTTAAGGGCTCGTAATTAAGCATTTCACAGTAAGATCTACACCTGTTGTATTGGGCGCATGTGACAAATACAATTAGATTTGATTTTAGCCTGGTAATTCATGACAAAATAAGACAGCCACTTCCAACAATTTCTTCTCTGTCAGATCCCTCCCTATACTGTAGTTGTGGATGTGGCAGGGAGCGTGAGGGACGTGGCTGTGACTGTCCTGGGGTTTATGTGCTGCCATAAGCACCTTGAACGCTCCCGGCTGATTCCACCATCACAGGTCTATACAGTACCAACCAAGAGGGGTGTATTCTCCATCCTCCACCCTCCTCAGCCTGGCTGTAAGCATAGCCCTGAGTGAGCCCAGCATGATGGGATGCTCATACATAGGCACACACACACTTCTTACACGTAATGTGCAGTAATGAGCATCTCCGACAGCGGTCTCTGATCCCATTCGCACAGGGAAGCCTTTTGGAAGTCCTGCATCATTAACACTCTTCCACTCTTCATTACCGCATATAGGAGGTAGCCCTACATATTTAATTTGTCTCACTCTGATCTCTTCTCCCTCTACCCCCTTTACTCTCCTACTATTTCTACATGACCCCCATCAACCTCACTGCATAATCAAACAGTCGTATGAGGTAGGTACAGTTTGATCCGAATGTGTTGAGGGACCTGAAGTTGGCCACATGTTGAGTCAACACTCCTCATTAACAGGGATAACTACAGTACAGTGCCTGCTGTCTTAAGGCGTCCGCATGATTACCAGCCGAAACGGTTCAGTAGAGTTCGTGCATATATTATGATGACATATTGTGACGTTTCTGTTCGTTTTGGACTTCGGCGAGGGTTTTTTCGGCTGTTCGTGCACACAAAATAATATCTGGAGGCAAGCTGAAGTTCGGAGCCAAAGTCTACGTCACCTCATCGGTGATTGGTCAACAGTAGGGATTCTTCAATAAAGTCTTTGTTGTCATTCAATGAGAGATGACTCGTTTTCATGCACATTTTTTCATTAAGAAATACTGCACCAAACATCTTAGTTATATGTAAAATTGTGCGACTAAGATCTCTTCGGCAAAAATGTCAGAATAATGACAGACTTCTTGAATTATCTTAGATTAATTCTGACTATTTTGAGGAAGTGTATACTGGCTATGGCTTCTCAAAATGGACAAACAGTACTATTGATGTTTTTTTCACATTTTTCAAGCGAAGATCTTTTAAGGGAGTGTGCGAGTTTGGCTAGGGGCCAGCTGAACTGAAGCATGCTGACGCCTTTTGGTCTCACTGCTGAACATCAGAGGTATTCACAGCAGTGGAGGCTCCTCCTCAGAGGAAGGGGAGGACCATCCTCCTCAGTGAAAACAATACTAAACAAATTCACGTCACAAAATAATTGATTAAAACACAGTTTTGCAATGAAGGTCTACAGTAGCCTCAACAGCACTCTGTAGGGTAGCACCATTGTGTAGCCGATGATGTTACTTTAGCTAATATGGTGACAACGATGTAGGCTGTGTGTAGAGGTTATAATATGGTTTGGCTTGGAAAGTTTATTTTCCCCTGGTCACATACAGCTGATGTATTGTACATTGAAGTCCACAAGCGACGGGAAAAGGTGCGGGGACGAGAGCGCATAGATGCGAGAAGGAACACAACGTGGCTGCTATGAAAGTGAACTGTGTTTACGTGTGATCAAGGGTGTATTAATTCCGCAGATTCTGTTGTAAAATGTTTCTTAAACAGAAGCAAACGGAACAAAACGGGGATAAACATACCAGGATTTGTCCAATAGGAACTCTCGTTTGCGACTTGTACTAATGATTACACCATAGATCAGCTAGATGCAGGCAAGAGTGTGCATGGCAGTATTGAATGTGTCACTGTGTGTCACCTCAAATTTTTGTCTTGACCTGTGTGCACCTACGTTGTAAACTTTCATTCATAGGCTAGGTTGTAGCAACCTCATGATGGTTTATAGGGAACATTTGAGTATCATGTAGTAGACTAAACCTATCGATGTTACATTGAACTGGGTGAATGGAATGTGAATGACAGTCATCCAATATGCTATAATGGAAATAAGGCGACGCTCATGAGAAAAAAAAAATCGTCCTCCCTCATCTTAAACGGCATCGACCGCCATTGATTCACAGGTAGCCTATATCCACCATCACTCACTCAATTGAATAATAACCTACAAGGAAGTAACATAAAGAAAGTCCCTGACATGACTGTAAAGCAGTGATCATCATGTATAGGTTTAACAGTAAACAACAGATGGAGAGTGGAGAGTGGTCCAGTGTAACGGGTCTTGAGTTATGGGCGTTTGTGTGCGTGTGTGTCTGCTGGAGGCGAATGGATGATATAAAGGTCAGGCCTGTTGATGGCGGGTGAGGGCCAACGTTAATGCCTACTCACCAGAAGGCCCTTGCTAGCAAGGCTCCATTTATAGAGTCATCTTCCAATGCAAAACTAAAGGGATGAACCATTCGGATCAATGCACTGTAATGCAATGTACTCTTCTCTAAGTACACATACTTTACAATACTATGTCTGGTCCTGACTAGGTCAGTCAAGATGGAAAACAAACAAACACACACACACTCCACCCACACCTACCCCCCATATCCCTCCCACACACTCCCACAGACAACGAGGCCCATTTGCACGCAACTCTCTCCCAGTAGCAGCCACCCATGTGCAGTTAGCAGGGTTGAAAGAAAACTGCTTCCTCAGCATCTCCCCTGCATACAGATGTGATCCAGAGCAGCTTGATGAATATTTTACTCGGGGATTACATAACAGCGGCATGGGGCGAGCTGTAGCTCAAGAACATCTCTGTGTAGCTTTTTCCTCATAACTACGGAGCTACTGTGACAGGCAGCTGAGCAAAGGATAATTAATGTCGAGAGACCAGCCATTCTGTGTGATTTCATTATTTATTTGCAAAGCAGATGCCCTCATCCAGGCGACACGCATCACCTACAAATTTCACAATCAGTCAGCCGCCGCGGTGGCATGTTTATCAGAGTACACAGCAGCAAAGGCATCATGGGAGATTGGCTATAGTACCAACCGAACATGCCTTGGTCAACAAAGCCTAGATAGGCTAAGTAGAGAATCGTCATCACATTTGTTTGTGTGAGAAGTCTCTGGCATGTTGTTATACACAAGCCGTAAACTTTGTCAACATGCTTTATGTAATATTGATACCCCCGCTGTGGTGTGCCATCACCGTACATAGTGTTCATTGCTAGTTCTTCTTTCTTCTAGTTTTCCCCAAACAGATAGCAAAAGTTATCTTTTCTGGCGTGCTATCAGGAGTAATTTTATGCATGAGGCCATAATAAATCCTACAATTTACATTCTGGCATTATTATGAATAATGCAACGCTGTTAGGGATAATAAAAAGTTCAAAGAAGATTAGCACATAGGAATAAACTGCAGGATTCCTCAACTCCTGCTGCTAGTACATTTTTGTTTTTTCATGTCAATGAACTCAAGCACCTGAGTAAACACCTGACTTACTGGCATGCATTGAATGCATTTACGGAAAAGCTTCTTAACCTTTTTACAAGATTTGTTGACCCATTGTGTGTTGGCTGGAGAGGCATGTTGTGACATGAGTACAGATCTATTGGGGTTAGAGGAAAGGTGTTTGTGATGGTCCGCTTCAGTCTTCAATCTGCCAGTGCCTGCCTCCCATTTAAAGGTCAATCAATAGAGGAAAAGGGAACAGGGAAGCTGCTGTCCGATAGGTGTTTGACTGCCCTAAAGGGGACGGCTCAGCTGCTCACCTCTCAAGCCTCTGTTCTAATCTAGCATACACCATAGGTGTAGAGCAGGGGTGTCGAACACATTTTGCCCTGGGGGCTGCATTCAGTCTTCAACAAGGACTGGAGGGCTGCAGTGAAAATATGTTATATTTCCTTGGGAAAGTATCTCCGATGGCAGGACTTGAAAAACACTACAGGTCGGTTGGTTAAATTACATTTCCTCTCTTGTAAATAAACTGCCAAAACTTCAAACACCCAATTCCCTTTAGCTGTTATGACAGAGATGTGATACTGGTACACTCATTTACTTTTCTCCTGGCATGTCTTGATCCACAAAAATGAATTTCCACCATTATTTGTGAAATTACAATTCAAGTAGGAAGTAAGTAAACACTGAAGAAAACATTGTGCAAAACAAGATGGAAAAGTTCCTCTGTGACCAGGAGCAATGAGAAATGTATTATAACTTTTTTAAACAGAAGGCAATTTCTTAATGGACTTGCACTTCCCAAAAACTATCTTTTGGTATTTGTTTCATTAGTCCGTTGTTGACATAATCCCAAAATGTTTTTCTAGTCAGCAATCAAGTTTTCAAGATATCTAACTTTCAAAATACAGAAATCATCCCCGTATGATGCATCATATGATGCTGCGTTTTGCATCATTACAAAAACCTAATTGCTGACAAGCAAAACATTTTGGGACTATGTTAACAATGGACTAATGAAACAAATACCAAAATATAGTTTTTAGGTGGAGTTTTCCTTTAAAGCGGCAATCCGCAGTTGAAACAATAACAAAGTGCTCTCTCCGCCACTGTTTCGATAAAAAGCGAGGAATGGGGCTTGAGAAATGAAACCACTATCAAATTCATAGACAGAGCTATGGATGCAAGGACTGACCATCATATGATATTAAAATTATAGTTTTAACCATGCGTTTAGGCTATACAGTGTTTGATTACATTTACTTTGTTTGCAAATATTGGAGTAAAAAAAGCTTATAATTTGGGTTCTGATGGGGTTCAACAGTTGAACTAAGCTCATGAAGCATTTATAAGTTATATTTTTCAAGAATCAATGGGTTCATATCATTCATTTATAAGTCCCATAATGGATGTAGCAACTGCTGATTGCCCCCTTTAACAGCAGTGCTCCAGGCGTCATGTCTTGTTGTTGTATGCTTTTCTTTTTTCACACTTTGCTCTGAGCCAGCGGGACGGTGTTCAACTGGAATGAAACAATTATTGCAGTAGTCTCTCCCTGCAAGTCCATTAGGGAAGTTTTGTCAAATCACAAAGTTATCCTTCTACTTTAAAAAAGGACCACAATGTCAGCATGCAGGTTAGTTGAGTTAATTTACTTTTGAATCTCTATGGTTGAGTAAACAAGACTCACAAAACAAACCCTAATAAGGGTGATAGGGATTACAGTGATAGACCTTGATAAACGTATGTAAAAACGTGTGTAATTTACCTAGTTCAAAAGGTAACTCCGGCATGAGTATTCTTTAGTGCGCTGTCCTTTACCTGTGTTTTCTCTTCATTTGATTGAATTGGCACCTTAGTCTCTGTCATTGCTGGCACCATTATTCAGCTAGCAGAGCTATGATGTGGCCTTGTCTCCCATTATATTTCTCTACCTTCTCCAATCTACAGTACCACCAGTCCCCAGGGTGGCTGGTCCCAGAGTTAAATATGACGCACACATATCACATGACCACTGTAGCTGATTGCCCAAACAGCTGGAAGACTGGGTTCTGATATATTCCAATCAGATTTTATTTTACTCTGAACTGAAATGACCTTGGGCCAAATTCAATCAAAGGTTCCGTAACACTTACACCTTAGGCTTAGTTTATGCAGTTTTTCATGAATACATACCTGCATTATAAAATATGCCTCTAAACCAGTGTTGATTAGCTGAATCATGGTTCTTAGTGCTGGGCTGGAATAAAACATGTGTACCCGACCCCAATGGGTTCCCAGGACCAAGATAGAATCTCCCCGCTCTAAGTAGTCTATTTGGAACACTGTCAACACACTGCATGGTGACACACTGAAGTGGTCTCAGGAAATGTCAGTATCCATACCTTCCCTTCCGCTCCATGAGTTTACACTCCTTTCTATTCCCCTGTAAACCTGCGAGTGACACCATGGGATGAGGACCCATGTCTGAATTGACACCTAATTTAGGAGATGACAGCTGAATCAAGATAAACAGCCTGCTCAATATCAGCCTGTCACGGCTCCTACCCAATGCATTCATTCCATGGTGATAGACCAAACAGGCCTGTATAGCTCTTTACACCTAAATACATTCCCCTCATGACAAGTTTTTTTTCTTGATAAGGCGAGGAGCAATGAAATGCACGAAAGCAAAAATGGCTTTGGCCTACTAACTAATATGACCACTATGAAAAGATAGGACTCTCGCAAACACGATGGTGTTCTCCTACAACCCCCAGATGCCACGCAGGACTCGTCTGAAGGTAACCTGGTATCGGTAAAAAAAAAAAAAAAGGAAGTATGGAGGTAGTTTTGTGCCAGCAAAAGAAAGGGGTTAAATATGTGTCCTAAAAACCCAAAATATTTCCTGAGCTTTCTTAGATCTTCTAGATATATGACAGACACTTCAAAACCTTATTCCTTATTATTTCTCTTTTGACTGTCTGTTTTGCCATTTATGAATGTGTTATTCAATGGGTTTCTATTGGCTATAGTAGTAAAGGCCAAATTCAATATTTTATGAAATTATTTTTGTAAAAAAAAAATGAATACCTACAGAGGTACTAAAATTCTAATTTCAATAGCTAAATGATCCATGGTATGACCAACTTAAAACAATTCCATATGTTAGTAGAACCCGCTCAGGGATTTCAGCATGAGGCCAATGGAGTTTAATGGTTGGATAGGAGAAAACTGAGGATGGATCAACAACATTGTAGTTACTCCACAATACTAACCTAACTGACAGAGTGAAAAGAAGGAAGCCTATACAGAATAAAAAATATTCCAAAACATGCATCCTATTTGCAACAAGGCACTAAAGCAATACTGCAAAAAATTTGGCAAAGCAATTCACTTTTTGCCCTGAATACAAAGTGTTATGTTTGGGACAAATCCAATACAACACATTACTGAGTACCACTCTCCATATTTTCAAGCATAGTGGTGGCTGCATCATGTTATGGGTATGCTTTTAATCGGCGTAAGCACAGGCAAAATCCTAGAGGAAAACCTGGTTCAGTCTGCTTTCCAGCAGACACTGGGAGATTAATTCACATTTCAGCAGGACAATAACCTAAAACACAAGGCCCAAATCTACAGTTGCTTACCAAGAAAACAGTGAATGTTTGTGAGTGACCGAGTTACAGTTTTGACTTCAATAGGCTTGAAAATCCATGGCAAGACTTGAAAATGGTTGTCTAGCAATGATCAACAAGCAATTATACAGAACCTGAAGAATTTTGAAAATAATAATGTGCAAGTGTTGCACAATCCAGTTGTGGAAAGCTCTTAGAGACTTACCCAGAAAGACTCACAGCTCTAATCGCTGCCAATGGTGATTCTAACATGTATTGACTCATGGGGTTCAATACCTATCTAATCAAGATATATTAATGTTTATTTTATGTTATTTTACTTTTGTTCCACTTTGACATTAGAGAATTTTACTTAGATTGTTGACACAAAAATGACAATTAAATAATAATAAAAAATATTGCAATCTCCATAGACAAACATTGGCAGTAGAATGGCCTTACTGAAGAGCTCAGTGACTAGGATGCCACCTTTCCAACAAGTCAGTTAGTCAAATTCCTTCCTTGCTAGAGCTGCCCCGGTCAACTGTAAGTGCTGTTATTGTGAAGTGGAAACGCCTAAGAGCAACAACAGCTTATGACCAAAAGCTCGTCGAAAATCTCATTCCAAAATCATGGGCATTAATATGGAGTTGGTCCCCCCTTTGCTGCTATAACAGCCTCCACTCTTCTGGGAAGACTTTCCACTAGATGTTGGAACATTGCTGCGGGGACTTGCTTCCATTTAGCCACAAGAGCATTAGTGAGGTTGTGCACTGATGTTGGGCGATTAGGCCTTGCTCGCAGTTGGAGTTCCAATTCATCCCAAAGGTGTTCGATGGGGTTGAGGTCTGGGCTCTGTGCAGGCCAGTTAAGTTCTTCCACATCTCGACAAACCATTTCTGTATGGACTTCCCTTTGTGCACAGGGGCATAGTCCTCGCTTTGTGCACTGGGGTATTGTCATGCTCTACTATGTATGCCAGTCTCTTTTGGCTAAGAGTTGAGGAGAGACTGACTGCATCACTTCTTCTTTGTATAAGAAACATTAATGTGTTGAGAATTCCAAATTGTTTGCATAGTCAACTTACGCACAGCTCTGACACACACACTTACCCCACCAGACATGCCACCTTCTTTGGGTCTTTTCATAGTCCCCAAATCCAGAACAAATTCAAGAAAGCGTACAGTATTATATAGAGCCATTATTGCATG